ATTACGCATATATATATATATATATATATATATATAACCCTAATTTAAAAAACTTATCATTATATTTTTTTTCTCGTATTATCTTTTTATTTTTTTGACATTACACTAAAATAACGTGTATAGTTCAAGACATTTATATGTAATCCTCTATATGAAAGATAGAATTCTTTATTTCTTATCCATAATGAAATCAAATATTATTCATATTCACGACGAATTATTTCTCTCTCCTCAACAATCCTTGCTCATCCTTGGATATTATAATAAATGTTACATATAGTGACATACAAAATGTGTTATTATAAGTATAATATATGTAGGTATATATCTATTTAGCATATAGCTACACACAATTTTAGTGTTAATTTTGAATGAGATTTAACAACATATTTTGTGTATTACTATAACTTATACCCACACTTTTTAACAATATATCAACATATATTATATTTATTGTATAGGTAAAAGTAGATAAGTGTCATTATAGGATTTGTCATTATATGACAATTTTCTTGCAGTGGGATCACGTAAAATTTATAGTTGTGTTTGAAAATCAGTTCAAAATCAATCTGTCTATAAAGTTGCTTTATGTTGGTGCGATGAAATTCGATAAAACTTGTTCAACTTATTTAAATGAGTTTTTGAACACACTATATTCAAGCAAGTGTATAACTCACACTATGAAACTAGTGTGTGTAACAAATGTTTTTTAGTATTAGTTAAAATAATTAAGAAAAGTAAACAAATATTTTAATGGGATAATTGATTAGAAAAAGTTATTTTAATTTGATAAACATGTGTTGCAAAATATGGAAATTATGCGATTCTTTGAAAAGTTGATAATGTACCAAGGTTATCATGTTTAAAAAAAAAACATAATATAAAAATGACTTAATATGTTTTAGTCTTTTAAATTTAAGATAAATTATTTTTATCTCTCAAATATAAAATTATTGTTTTTGGTTCATGTATTTTTAAAGATCTTATTTTAGTATTTTAAGTCATCAGTAATATATCTAAAAATGATAAATTTATACAATTATACACTATTAACTAAATTTAATATGATATTTTTATTAATAAAGATAATAATAAGTAAATTTTACGCGATAGTATTTGATACATTTTCTAATAAAATTTGAGTATCAAAATTATTTTTTCTTTTAAATAATATAAACTAAAAAGATCAGTTTTATGATTAAGAGAATAAAAGTAAATTTGTTTTAAATTAAAAATTAAAAATATATTTATACCTATAAAAATGAATATGTTTGTTGTATGAAATATTTAATGCTTGTCATTTTGAACCCTAACTAATTTGAGTTGTTTTTTTTTTTGTTTTTTTTATTTATCGATACTAATTTGAGTTAAGTGAGTTTTCTTAAGATAAAAAAATATTAAATTCTTTTTATATTTTTTCCCATTTGTTTATATTTATAAAAAAATATTGTTACTTAAATTAAGTAAATATTGACAGATTTATCAACAAAGTGTAACACAATTGTTTGATACTTAAGTTTCTTAAACATATTGCGAGAACTTCAATTCTTCCAAAGAAATTAGAAAAAGAAAACTTTAATTTAAACTTTAAATGGATGCAATTAGTTAAGTACTGCGAGATATCTCATGTAATTATTTGAGTATATGTAAATTAAGGTAAGAAGAAAAACATAATTATAAAACATCTAAAACAATATTGATGCAATTAATAATATAAATATTTTATTGATAAAAAAAATATAGGCATTTGATAAAATATTTAATAAACCAAATACTGTTTTAGTAGCTATTCAGGAAAAAAGTTATGCTTAATGTTAATAAAAAATATATTTTGATAATAAAAATAAAATTTAATTTATTTCCAAAACATATAAAAAAAACAAGTATTCGAAAATCAAAGTAAAAATGATTTAGATTGATTAAAAAAGGTTAAAGTAAAAATATAATTTATTTTATTTAAAAAAGGCTTAAATTTATTACATAAATAAGATACAAGGAAATTTCTTATGAACTTTGCTACTTTGTATCATAGTCAAAAAGTATTCGATACCATTGATCAAACTCCTCTAATTTTTTTTTTTGACGTTTAGGAATTGTTTGTTTGTGTCTTTTAAGTTTTGTTTTGTTTTGTTTTCTTTAAACTTTTTGTAAAAAAAAATCACTTATTTAAGTCCCAAGTGTAATGAATATAAATTAGTTTGGCTAAAAGGATGACGGATTCTAGCATGAAGCAGTGAAAAATGTGCCCATAGATGAGACACTACAATGTCTTAGAATAACAGATTTTTAATAAAAAAATATAAAAAAAATCACAAAAATATTTGAGAGTCATGGTGATCCCATTGCGGCCACAATAACGCTGTTGTGCGCGCGATTACGGTGATGAGGCCACTGCGCGTGCGGCCACGGTGAGAACATTGTTTGTGCAGTCATGATAGTTCGACAGGATGACATTGTTTGAGGAAAAAAAATTATTTTACCGGTTATATGAGTTGCATTTCTTTAATCTTGTAGGTTGATTTTTTTATTAATATATCCAATAATTAAAACTACGCTAAAAATTTATTTTGGTCCCTTATAATAATTGTTTGTTTTAATTTAGTCTCACTTTTATTTTTTGTCTCAATTTGGTCCCTAATAAATTAATTAGTTGTAATGTCGGACTTCCGCTCAAATTATTTAGACGGAGTTAACTATTGGTCACGTGGAAGCTACGTAGATACTACGTGGAAGCTACGTAGATGCCACGTGGAAGCTACGTAGATGCCACGTGGATATCAAATTTTGTCATGCATCTGGAACCAGAACGACCTGTTCTGAAACCGGAACAGCCCGTTCCGGTTGCACTCATGGTGTGTAAATTTTGCATCTGGAATGACCCGTTCCAGATGCATTATTTAACACCAATGCGTGCAGCAGAACGGGCCGTTTTGGCTTCCAGAACGGGCCATTCCAGAATGCCAACCAACATAGTACACCAGTGTGGTTCAAAAATCGAAAGCAAACCATTTACACATGCGCAATTTTTTTTTTATCTAAAAAATAATATATTTTAAAAAATAAAAAATATATTCTAATATATATATATATTTAAATTATCGTATGTATAAAATATAAATTTCAAGGAGTTATTTATTTATCTGATATTTGTCAAACTTTTGTACTTTTATTATTTATGTTGATAAAAAAAATTAAAATTGTAAAAATTTATATCACATATTAAAAATATCTTTATATGATAAATAAATTAAACTTAATTTTTATAAGATTTAACATATTTATTTATATGTTTTTATTAGTGTTAAATTATTATTAAATAGGTTTTTAAAATTATTATGTAACCAAACATTTTAAAAAATGTCTATGACAGATAAATATATAATACTTATAACATGTATTTTTAACAAAAATTAGGTTTAAATCTGTTAAATTATAATATAACATAATTTGACCTAGTTTATTTTCATTCTTAATCATAATTGTAGATATAAAAACTTGTAAAAAATAACTATAATATATATTTATACTTTTAAAAATTATATATAAAATTTTTAATATTATAAATATATGAATAAGTATTGTCCTCACAATTTAAAATTTCTTGATATAATTATCAACCCGTTCCGGATGCAAAATTAATACATCAGGAGTGAAACCAGAACGGGTCGTTTTGGTTCCAGATGCATGACAAAAATGACATCTACGTAGCTTCCACGTGACTTCCACGTAACATCCACGTGGCCAACAGTTAACTCCGTCTAAATAATTTGGACGGAATACAACCAATTAATTTATTAGGAACCAAATTGAGACAAAAAATAAAAATAAAACTAAATTAAAACAAATAATTATTATAAGGGACTAAAATAAGTTTTTAGTCTTAAAACTAATAATTCACACATTTTTTTACTATTTCATATTAACATTCTTTTTTATATATTTTTAAGTAAAAATGTTGCGTAGAAAATGATTGATAAATGTATGTTGTAAATAAATACTAGACTGTCCGAACACAGAAAGCGCGAAAAAGAGAAAAATCAAATGAAAAGATTAAACTAAACCCTCCCATTGCTGGGTTTTTCCCTTAGTTAGGGTTTAACTTTCTCTTCTTCTTCGTCTTGCTCGTTCTCTCCTCAAGCAATGTCCGATACAAGTTCCGTCGATGCTTCTCTGTGGTGGGACTCATTCACTGTCCTCCTCACCGAGCTAGAAATTTCCTCTCTGTCCTCAGATCTCCCACCGAATTTGGTACACTTTCAATAATCTATGCGTGCCTTCGTGCGCCTCTGAATTTGTGCACTTACATGAATCCTTTTCATGTTTATTTAGGCGAAGAAGTTGAAGGACAACCATGCCTGGTTCGTGGACTTACTTTCGCGCTTCAAGCCGCCCAATCAGAAATCCAAGCAAGCTTTGAATTCAAAAACGCTGAAAATTGGATCTCACCAGCTCACTATTCAACCTCACCTGAAAGATAAAGCGTTGCAGATTAG